GTTGTCCTCTTCTCCCTCTCTGCCTACGGTTTACCGGGCAGTTCTATTTGACGATATATATATATATATATATATATCGTCACAAACAGAACTGCCCGGTAAAACCGTAGGCAGAGAGAGAGAAGAGGACAACAGACGAGGGGCTCCGACGAAACAGTTTGTCACAGCAGGGTTGCCGGCATTCGGGACGGGCCGAACGCCCGAACCCGAACGCCCGAACGTTCGGTACCCCCTCTCGACGCGTTCGGCCGAACGGCCGAACGCGGACCCCCCCGCCCCCCCCCCTCAAAAAAAACAAAAGAATTTCAAAAAATCTGAAAAAAAGATATGTTATACAGAAGAACAAACTAAACAACATTTACCTTAACGTTACATCCAAATTCTTTACCAAATTTGAAATAAAAATCAAATACTAAAACTAAATAATAATAATGAAAATTAGAAAAAATAAAACGAGAATGAAATTATTGAGTGGGCGAGCACGTTTTTGACACCGCCATCTTTGGCGATTTTTCATTTAGTTTTGGCTATGACAAATGCCATGAAAATTTATATATGTGTATCTTACGTAATAGAGAATCTACAAATAAAGTTTGAAAAAATAATAATTTTTTTCATGCCCCAAAATAAAGGAAAAACATTAAGTGAAAAGAGAGAAAAAACAAATTAGTGAGTGGGCAAGCAAGTTTTGTCTTTTGACACCACCATCTTTGAGGATTTTTCATTTTTTTTTGGCTGAACAGAATGGCTTCAAAATTGAGAGGGAGATACCTTATATCACAAGAACTCACACAAAAGATTCAGAAAAAAAAATAATACTTCGGTGTTATTTTTTTTTTTTTGTGGGCCTCTGTATGTTCAGCCTGGCAACCCTGTATATATATATCGTCACATAAATATCAGAGCGCAAAGGCAAAAAAAAAAAAAAAAAAAAAAAAAAAAAAAACAGAAGAAAACAAGAAAAAAAATTCGTTTTTTTATCTTCTTCCTTACAACTCCCTCTGTTCAGAACCTCTTGCGTACAAGGCCGCCCACGCGGATGTAGGTTGTGGCAGCTGCCCCCACCCCTGTCTGTCATATCGACCCACTTGCACACAGCCAAAGGGCAAAGAGGCAAAGAAAAGAGGAAGGGAACAGCCAAATGCAACAAAACAGGGGGCAACAAGCAATAGCACCAAAAATGGATCCTAGATGACAAGTCCCACATGCAAGCACTGCCCCTCCTTCACAGGCCAAGGGACAGGACAAGACCACCCAGGACAAAACTCTTAACAGTTTGTCACAGCCTACGGTTTACCGGGCAGCTCTGTTTGACGATATATATGGACTATGGCTATGCCTGGTAACGACCACATTTCAGATATCTTTTTCCCTTTTGATTTTTTCCTTTTTCTTTTGTTTTTTGATCTGTGAGCCATGCTATTATTAATACTATTTTAATAGCCTATTTATTATTTTCTGCACTATTTGTTCTCTTTTATCGTTCTTTGACTTCTACGACTGGGTCAACCTACTCCACCACCGTTTCTTCGCCCTCTCTGCCTACGGTTTACCGGGCAGCTCTGTTTGACGATATATATGGACTATGGCTATGCCTGGTAACGACCACATTTCAGATATCTTTTTCCCTTTTGTTTTTTTCCTTTTCTTTTGTTTTTTAATCTGTGAGCCATGCTATTATTAATAGCCTATTTATTATTTTCTGCACTATTTGTTCTCTTTTATCGTTCTTTGACTTCTATGACTGGGTCAACCTAGTCCACCACCGTTTCTTCGCCCTTGTTTCATTTTTCTCATATCTCTCGGCCATGAATCGCCCCCCAAAACCATCGGGCGTAGACCCAGGACTAACACTCATGTTTACGGCATGGACTACCAGGGTCATATTATTAATTTAAATATAAAAAAATGCACTACATCCTTAATCCAAGGGGACCAGGAGGTGTATTTTTGCCTTCTTCTGAGCATCCATCAATGCACCTGGCCCTCCTGCTCCCTCTCCTCTCCCCCTGCGGTTGCTTGTTTCATCTGCTGCTCTTGCTGGGGCTGCTACCGCTACTGCTAGCACTACCATCTTCCTGTGAACACCCACAGCACACTGAATATGAATGCATACAATCAATCTTTCCGGTCAAATGCATTCATGAGGAATGTGGATTGAGTTCCGAGGCAGACGGTAGTGCTACGGCTACTGCTACGAGGACCGCCATTATCATCATCATCACCACAATTGCTACAAGAGCTAGCACTACTTAACACTACCATCACTACCGTTGCTACTACCACAGCTACCCCTTTCCTTATCCCTCCCACGACTACAGCTGCAATTACCACTGCCTGTACTCCTACCGTCTTCACCCGAATAGAACGCCCAGTCATTATAGCCATATTTGGGGCAACTTTCAGTCCAGATGCAGCCATAATGACTGGGCATTCTATTCGGGTGAAGATGGTACCTGTATTACTGCTGTCAATGCAGCTGCTACCACTACCGTACTATCGTCTTCACCCGAACAGAATGCCTGGTCACTATAGCTGGATTTGGGTCACAAGTTCAGTCTAGATACACCGATGATGTCCCGCCGTTCTCTTGGGTTGAAGCTGGTACTACCTGCTGGTACTACCTGCTGCTCCGGTACTACCTGCTGCTACTTTCAGTCTGAATTCAGCGATAACGACCAGGCGTTCTGTTCGGGTGAAGATAGTACGACTGGTACTGGTGCTGGTACTACGGGTAGTGGTACCTGTACTGCTACTGCTACTGCTACTGCTACTGCTACTGCTACTGCTACTGCTACTGGTGGTAGTGCTGCTACGATTGCTTGTGGTTACTGCTACTGCTACTGCTACTGGTGGTAGTGCTGCTACGAGTGCTTGTGATTACTGCTGCGGCCACTACTAGTACTTCCCTCTTTGGGCCGAACACAATGCAACCCTCATTTTGACTGTATGGGAACGGAAATGTAGCTTGTGTAAATTCGTAATCTGGGTGCGTTGTGTTTGGGGAAACGGCAGTACTGCTACTACACTACTATTGGAAGGACTACTATGCTTGCTGTTACGAGTCGTGTGACTGCTGCTACAACAAGTGCCTGGGAACCCAAACGCACAGGAATAGACAGATTCATCCAAGACGAGCAAGTTCAAGACAAGCCATTAGGGTTTGGACACAGGCAAAACGCAGGTGAAACTCAGGATCCTAACACACACACGAAACTCCTCAGCCAAAAAAAAAAAAAAAAAGCTCAGATTGCTTAGAGTGAAAACTGTGTGCAGGTTATTACAAGGAACTTTTTGAAGAATTGAAAATTTGCAATGAACAGTTGTCAAAAAAAGGGTTATGTGCACGTAGAAAATGAAGTTAGAGCAAACAGCCGCGGCAACCGGAATTGGACCATGGTGGGGACAATCCGGTGCTTGCTGGAAACACCAAATTTGCAATTAACAGTTGTCAAAAAAAGGGTTATATACATGTAGAAGCTGCACGTTTCTCAATTTCTTGTCCTTTTGTTTTTCTTGGTCTCTGAGAATCATGGCGTTTCATTTTCTTTTTCTCTCACCTTACTCTGGCTTTACATTAGTTCTGTTCCCTCCCTCCCTCCACCCCGCTTCCCACCTCCCCCCCCTCCCCCCCCCCCCCAGCCTCCCCCCCCCCCCCCACCCTATCCCTTCCCTCTCCCCACTCCCCCAACGCCCCCGATCCTCTCTGTCCCCTCCCCCCCCCCACCCTTCTTTGACATTTGGTTGCTGACTTGGTTCTTTGTTTTCATCTATGCTCTCTTTCTGCAGGTGTGACTTTGGGAACTCCCATCTGTGTTCTTGTCCCTAACACCGACCAAAGAGGAGGGGTGAGAATGAAGAATGAATCACACTGAGCGACTCTCTCTCTCTCTCTCTCTCTCTCTCTCTCTCTCTCTCT